GAGTTCTGGATTCTGCTGCATGGTATTGTATACAAAAAAGTTTCTTATATCAATGAATCCTGTTGAGTTATTTACTTGTGTGCTGATTGGATTGCTGCAAACTCTAACATATCTTCCTATGTAATACCTGACTGGTATTTCAGAAATGTATTCCAACAAAGGGATTTTTCATGATTGAACTATACATTGTATTGTAGGGCAGTGGCAGAAAATACTATTTTGCCAAAGTTTACACGCTTATCCCATGGGTCGCCTTCAGATGTTACTGTCATAGCCACATTCTGTCAGCATAGCCATTCTTCTGCAGCTTTTATTGACTGTTCTCTCCCACTTCATATCTTGCTCTTTCTCATCTTTTTAGCCTGACAGGACATAAATGCAATAGAAATATATTGGGTAAGGTGAGAGAGAATTCTCCAATGTTCCTTACAGTGCTCTAAATCTGTGAACTTTCACATGGAATATTTTTGAACATAGCTTTAGTGCTATTTTGAAAAAGCATTAGACTTTTTTCAAAAATATTAAAAAATAGGCTGGTTAACAAGCCATGAGTGTGAGACAAGGAGGGTGCTCCCTCTGGAAGACTGGGATAAATCCTTCCTACTCCATCCCACAACCCCACTCCACAATTGCAATTTATCTGGGAACTCCAGTCAATTGGAGTCACACATTTGTGGTGGAACATGTCATTTTAGGATGCCTCTTCCATTCGCTTTGCTACATTCTATATTGCCTATATGCAGGACCTGAAAGCAAGGTAAGAGGGTAAACACTATTCCCAAAGGAGATTACCTAATGCCAAATCCTCCATAGTAGATATATGAGATAGATGAATACCAAGCTTCAACATAAATCTCAAAATCCATCTGTAGATGGTATAAAATACTAGCCCAAAACGTTGTTCTGTGGCATTAAATTGTGGACATTTGCAGTATTAAAGGCAGCAGTTTTATTTTAGATCAATGTATCCAAGATTAGGAATTAGTGTTTTTGTAAAATTGCCAGATAAGTTTCACCAGTTGAGAACATGAAACATTAGGAAAGTTGCTGTAACATTTACATGTGCAAACAGTCTTTATCAATAGGTTATTGACCTGTGGTATCTCTTCTATGCTCAGTTCACAAAATCTTTGATGCAATAGATGAATCTCTACGTAGTACCCCTGGAGCTCCGTACTACCCTCCCCTTGCTACCACATGGCTGTCAGCATATGTAAGTATTATGTAACTACTGTTAAATGGGAACACAGTGTTAATCTGAAATTTCATGATATATTTTCTATTTCCAAAAACTTCCCAAAAACGTTTGAAATTGTAACTAACGAATTAGTGTTTTGGAGCTATTATAGAGAATCATCTGCAGAGAAATTGTCCAATTTGTAGAAATCTGATAAATTCATGTAATAAGCATTAATGACCATAGAGTGATCAGTAAAAGAAAGAGACAAAGTTAGGAAGAATTTTAAGTCTAATATTGGAGAGATAAATGCTTAGTTGGTTCATATAGGCAAAAAAGAAAACATTGGTCAACTGGTGAAATAAGAAATTATTTTAAATGGGATAAAAGAAGAAAATAAGCTATTAAATATTAAAATAATTAAGTTCTATGGATAAAGATAATTAAAACAGGTTCAGTAGTATTTTCTACACATGTAGCATATATGTATTTGTGTGTGGGGGTTGTGGAATATTTATGCATCCATACCAACTTGCTTTTCCAGGCGCAGGACACACAAAAAGTATCAAAATCCCATCAAATCATAGCAGAACTATTCTATAAAGCTTTGGTAAGACCATACTTAAAATACTGCATTCAGTTTTGGTCATCCCAATACAAAAAAAAATGTTGAGACTTTGGAAAAAGTTAAGAGAAGAGCAACATAAACAATTAGGGGTCTAGAAGCTAAAACATATGAAAAATGACTGCAGAAACTGGGCATACCTAGTCTAGTGAAAAGAGAGACTAAGTTGAAGTGATAGCAGTCTTCCAATACTTAAAGGGCTGCCACAAGGAAGGGGGGGGGCAATTTATTTTCCAAAGTACTTGTGGGCAGGACAAAAAGCAATGGATAGAAACTAACCAAGGAGTGAAGCAACCTAGAACTAAGGAAGTGAGAACAATTAACCAGTGGAACAAATTGCCTTTGGAAGTTGTGGGTTTCTCCATTGCTGAAGGCTTTTAAGAAGAGACTGGATAGCATTTATCAGAAATAGTATCGGTCTCCTGGAAGAGCAGGGGGTTGAAATAAATGACCTCCAAGGTCCCTTCTGTTACTGTTATTCCAAGATTACTAATAAGATTCTGCTTAAAATTAATTAACAGGTAAGTTTCCATTTCCCTCATAATCTTTTCAGTTGTTAATAGGTTCTGAGAGTTTCCTTTAGTAGTATTGGGGTGGCAGGGGGCAGCAACTTTAATGTGTACACTATAAATCACCTAATGTGCAAATCTCACAGGGTTTTTTGGGGGGACGGGACCTGGGAGGATAGAGCATTGCAAACTTGAGTTCCATAAGAAAATCTAATTTAATAAGTAACAAATAATCTATTATTGAAACTTATAAAATTGAATCTTACAACAAATCTTAGAATGCATTGACTGATTTTTTTAAAAATCTCTATCAAGCAAATTTGAGTTAGAAGCACAAAAACAGTATTGTATTTCCACCTATGAATAGTTTATTGAAACTAAAATAATAACAGTAAACTAATTTTACTTACTGAAATGTAAATAAAATTAGTGAAAACGGCAGTATAATGCCAATATAAATATATTAGTGCCAAGTAAAAGTGGTAATATATTTATATTCAGCTACAATATGGAGTATTTATGAAAGAAGGCGGGGCTTAGCACTGAGAAGACGGATTTTCAGGCTATTCCTGAAATTCCCCTATTCTGAAGCACTTGGACGGTTCTTTTTTGGACCCAAGCTGTCCCGGAGAGACAGTGAAAGGTAGGAGGAGATCCAGTGACCCCCGAGATGTTCGCAAAGTCTCTGGGGGGCTTGGAATTTAACCTCCTTTGCCAGTGACTTCCGGATTAGCCATAAGGCTAACTGAAACTGCAGATAGCTCCAAAGAGTGGCGTAAGTGTTTCCAGCTGGTAAGGTGATTTTCTTACTCAGAGAAAGACAGTCCGCATAAAAATTCAAGCTAATTTAAATCAAAGAACAGAAGAATCTAGCGGCGATGTCGATCTCTTTATTGGTTTATGGACGGTGGTTACCCTATTTTTTAAATGTTTTAAATGCTATTTACACGGACAAAGGATAGATTACTCCAACATCTCCTCTGAGTAATAAAATCACCTTACCATCTGGAAACACTTTGCCATTCTTTGGAACTATCTGCAGTTTCAGTTAGCCTTGTGGCTTATTCGTAAGTCCCTGGCAAAGGAGGTTAAATTCCAAGCTCCCCATAAACCTTGCGAACATCTCTGGGGTCACTGGATCTCCTCCTACCTTTCACTGTCTCTCCGGGACAGCGTGGGTCCAAAAAAGAACCGTCCAAGTGCTTAAGAATAGGGGAATTTCAGGAATAGCCTGAAAATC